TGCTTGTGCTCTCTCTCTCACAAATAAATAAAATCTTTAAAAAAATAAAGTCTATTAATTTAAACAAAAATTCAAACACAATTAAGATTATATTAGAGGTGCCTAGGTGGCTCAGTTGGTTAAGCGTCCAACTCTTGATTTCGGCTCAGGTCAGGATCTCAGGGTCGTGAGATCGAGCCCCGTGTCAGGCTCTGAGCTGAGTGTGGAGTTGGCTTGGGATTCTCTCCCTCTACCCCTCCCCCCACCCACTTGCACTTGCACACTCTCTCTCTCTCAAAAAAAAGAAAAAAAGATATTATACATACTGCTTTGTAACATTTTTATTTAACAGTACAACATTTTCGGGGCGCCTGGCTGGCTCAGTCAGTGGAACATGAAACTCTTGATCTTGGAGTTATGAGTTCAAGCCCCATGTTGGGTGTAGAGATGACTTAAAAATAAAATCTTTAGGGGCGCCTGGGTGGCTCAGTCGTTAAGCGTCTGCCTTCGGCTCAGGTCATGATCCCAGGCTCCTGGGATCGAGCCCCGCATCGGGCTCCCTGCTCCGCGGGAAGCCTGCTTCTCCCTCTCCCCCTGCTTGTGTTCCCTCTCTCGCTGTGTCTCTCTCTGTCAAATAAATAAGATCTTTAAAAAAATAAAAAAAATAAAAACTTTAAACAATACATTTTCCTGTGTTGTCAGATAATCTACAATATAACTTTAATGACTGGTTCATAGTTTTAAAAGAGGATAGCTATATGAAGGACAATACCATTTGCATTTAGGTAAGCTCTCCAAAACCACTCAGAAGCTCCATACGCGCTGTTCAAGGATGAGGGCACAAGAGGTAAAAGTAATGACATGACCTGGAAAAATACACAAGCGTAATAAACACTGCATACCCCTGGGAAGGGAGGAAGGGGTTCCAGAGAGAGCTTCAAACACAAACTTTACATTTCTATGCATCAGAAACGCCCGGGTTACATTTTATTAAATCTGGATGGCAAATATAGGGAATTTATTATATTAGCCTCTGAGCTGCCCTTTGTTTGAACTACTTCACACTAAACAAGAAATAACATGCAGATGGAAGGAAGTATTTTAAATGCCCTGAACACACAAGATTCAAGAATTAAACTGGCATTTGCAAATAATTTTGTGATGAAAATTCACCACTGATAATGATGAGGATTTGCCATCTGTCGGGATTTGCTCTGTGCCCTTCTGCACGTGCCAGATGACTATAACGATCCCAGCTGCACAGATACAATGCCTACCACGTGCGGAAACTGCCGGAAGTCCTTATGAATTAGCCCCGGTCAATGCCTCCCCAGGCAAAGCCCACCAGGAACACACCTGTGGCTCAGCACAGCGGTTTATCACTCCTGGTGGCCAGAGAAAACACACAACATTGCAAACCGTGGGATGGCGCAGTAAGAGGGTGCTAGAAAGGACTTACCACAGGGTTTAAACTTAGGTTTGGGAATACTGAGGAAGGCTTGAGAGAGCCAGGCTTTGCTTGGGATTTTGGGTGCTGCCCCGAAGCTGGAGTAATTCTGTGATGGCCTATCTCATCTACAAGAAGGGGAGGCTGTGACTGACAAAGCAGCAGCCCTCACTCCCACCAGCGCGGAGAGGGATGGGATGATCTTTGCTGTGATTCCAGCAGTCTGCCTTCTAATAAGGGGTTACAGAATGTTCTGTGTTTGTCCTGATCCATAAGGATCAAAGGGTGGCTTCACCTGATGTTGACAGCCTGTTAGAGTGTTTATGCTCATAAGGAGAACATTTCTGCCCAGCTGTGCCCAGGTGGGTTCCCCAACGTCAGAGGCTCCCTTTCTGCTTCTTACTCATTTAATCACCACCACGACCTAAGAGGCAGGTATTAGTTACTGTGAAGCCCATGGTACAGTTGAAACACGGTCAGAGAGGTCAAGTCGCTTGCCCAAAGTCACACGGCTAACAGGTGGCAGTGGTGGGGTTTGATTTCCATCACCTGGTTCCAAAATCCAGGTCCTCACCCACCCCGACAACCTGCCCATCACTCAGCGTTTCAAGGTTTGGGCCTGACCAGCTCTTCACCACCGCCTGTCTCAGCCTCTGCTTGGTCTTGACCAAGACTTTATTCAGGCTTTTGTCATTCCCACAGGACCCTGCACTTGTCCCCAGCCCTGCGCAAGCACTAAAAAAGTGGACCCTAGCCCCGCTATCAGCTTCCCCTGGGCATCGGCCGAACACGGCCAGACTTCACTGCCCACCGCCCCAGAAAAGGTTCTGCTCATCTCTGCCTCCCCCGCCTGTTTTAAAGCTCTTTCTGTTTAATTCTGAGACGCCTGCAGCTGTCTGAGATTTCTGCAATAATCTCTCTTCCGCATGAGGTCTCTCCCTACGTCCGGACAGGTACCCAACAGCAACAGGGATTCGCGAGGGCCAGCGCCTGCAGCACGCCGGCCCCGCAACGCCTCCGGGCCTCCCCGAGGGAGGGACAGCGACTCACCCGCCCTGGCGGAGGGCGCCCGGGGCCGGCGCGCCCGCGAAGCCCCGTCTGGAGGGAGCGTTGGGGGTCCCGGGCTCCTGGGACAGACCGCGCGGCGCCCCCAACGCGGGTCCCCGCGGCCCACTGGCCTCCGGAGCCTCCTCCGCGGGCTCGCACCGGGGCTCGCCGCCAAAAAGACCCGTCCTGCTGCCCCGAGAGCCCCGCCCCACCCTTCGATCGGCCTCTGCCCGTACCGCCCTGCCGAGCGCCGGGCCGGTGGACACTGGAGCCACTGGCAGTCCCGGCCGCCTCGCGGGCAGGAACTTCCGCTTCCGGCTCCGGGGCCGGAAGAGGTGAGGCTTTCGGGGATCGGGATAGGCGGAACCTCAGAGCTGGGAGGGGCGGGCCGCGTCCTCCAATCACCGGGCGGAAACACGCTAGTCCCCGCCTACCAGGAGCGCCTTTGGGCTCAGGACCGAATCCGACATCTAGGGCGTGTCTGGGGAAACAAAACGGCCCGTGGGCGTGGCTAGAATGTTCTAAGGGCGTGGCTTGCGACTGGCTCCTCCTCTGGGCGTGGCTGTGGGCGTGGCCTCCTGGTGTTAGGTGACCGGCCTTTAGAATTTTTTTCTTTTTTTTTTTAAGATTTTATTTATTTATTTGACAGAGAGAGAGCACAAGCAGGGGGAGCAGCAGAAGGAGAGGGAGAAGCAGGCTCCCCGCTGAGCAGGGATCCCGTCGTGGGGCTCGATCCCAGGACCCTGGGATCATGACCTGAGCGGAAGGCAGATGCTTAACCAACTGAGCCACCCAGGCGCCCCTTAGAATTTTTCCTATGGCCTTTTAATTTTTTTTAAATGAAAGTGGGATCATTTCATACACACTATTTCTGCAATTAACTTTTCTTAATAAATAGTACAATATGATAATCTGTCCAAACCAACACAGAGGTATCACTTTAAAGTTAATGGATTTTTTGTGGCAATCCATTGTCAATAAAAAGTCCCTCTCAATGCAGATACCTGGTCCCCCAGAACCCTTCCTAAAGACACTGTTACCAGCGCTTTGCGTAACCTTCCAAAGATGTTCTGTGTATGCACGAGCAAAAATGAATATACATATTCCCCTAATAAAAACACTTGACCCTTGAGCAACATGGGGGTTAGGGGCTCTGACGTCCCACATAGTTGAAAATTTGTGTGTCACTTTTGACTCCCCAAAAATTTAACTAATAATCGCCCACTGTTGACCAGAAACCCTACTGATAACACAAAGAGATGATTAACACATATTTAGTATGCTATATGTATTATAGACCATATTCTTACAATAAAGTAAGCTAGAGAAAAAAATATTAATATCATAAGGAAAATACATTTACACTTCGGCACTGTGTTTATTTTAAAAATCTACATATGAGTGGACCTGCACAGTTCAAACTCATGTTGTTCAAGGGTCAACTGTGCTCATCAAGCATCTTCTATTACCCAGACTGTTCTCTGCACTGGGGGATAGAGTAAATGACCACAAAAATCCCTGCCTTCATCCTTCTTAGATTCCAGTGGGGAGCAACAAAAAAAAACCCCATATTAATAAATAGCATATGTAATAAATATAATAATATATCCCAATGTGAACAGGGAGTGACTGTGAGTGCCCGCCCCTTTTGCTGCCTCCCTCAAGCCCTGAAAAGCTGTTAGAGTCCCATCACTCCCGGGAAAGCCCCTACCCTGTCCCCCTGCCCCCTACACACTCCCTACACTCCCCACTTCCCCGTCTGGGGACCAGCCCCAGCCTCTTCCAGGTTCTAGGCAGGATGCTTCTGGTGCCGGGGGCTGACCCAAGGTGCTGAAGGAGAGGCTGGGGCAGGCCTGGGGTTATGCTTACATATTCAAGAAAGTGAAGACAATCCACAGCCTAGGAGCAAATATTTGCAAATTACATACCTGACAAGGGAATTATACCTAGAATACATAAAGAACTTCCACAACTCAATAAAAGGATAAGTCATCCAATAAAAGGAGGCAAAGGATGTGAATAACATTTCTCCCAGGAAGATATCCAGAGGGCCAATTAGCACATGAAAAGATGCTGAACATCATCAGCCACCAGGAAAATGCAAATCAAAACCACAAGGAGGGGGCACCTGGGTGGCTCAGTTGGTTGGGCCTCTGCCTTTGGCTCAGGTCATGATCTCCGGGTCCTGGGATCGAGCCCCAAGTCAGGTTCCCTGCTCAAAGGGGAGTTGACTTCTCCCTCTCCCTCTGTGATCTCTCTCACTCTCTCTCAAGTAAATAAAATATTTTTTAAAAATCCACAAGGAGATATCACTTTGCACTTGCTAGGATGGTTACAATCAAAAAGACAGACAGTAACAAGTGTCTACAATCATGTGGAAAATCAGAATCTTCACTCACTGCTAGTGGGAATGTTAAATTGCATAGCTACTGTGGGAAAGTCTGGCAGCTCCTCACATGACGGAACATAGTCTCCATATGACCCAGCCATTCTACCCCTAGGATTGTTGGAAAACACAGTTTATGAGTAAGTTTTAAAGATCTTATTGGCTTTATTTAATGACTCATGAATGGGGCAACATGTCACCTTAGCAAACAGAAAGGAGCTCCGGAGAGCTGTACAAAATGGAAGGTTTTCATAGACAGAGGGAGAGAGACACAAGGAGGTATTAGCAGAGTGGACTGGTTTCAGGCGAGGTCACCTTTCAGGGACACAAGGGGTCCATCAGCTGCCTGGCGGAGCTTATGTTCCTGGGAGAGGCTGAACTGCAGTTTGGTCAGCTGTTACTCCTCTGTTTGGTGACATGGGCTTGGCACAAGTGACTCCGTTTTGGTCCTGCTGTCTCTTTAACAGCATCTAACAAAAGAACTGAAACAGTTTCAAAAGGATACTTGTACACAAATGTTCACAGTAGCATTACTCACAATGGCCCAAATGTCCACGGGCAGCTGAATGTATGAACAAAATATGGCCCAACCACGCCCTGGAATATCATCCAGGCTTTTTTTTTTTTTTTTTTAAGATTTTATTTGAGAGAGAGAGACAGCAAGAGAGAGAGCATGAGCAGGGAGGGGGAGCACAAGAAGGGAGCGGCAGAGGGAAAGGGAGAAGCAGGCTCCCCGCTGAGCAGGGAGCCCAGATGCAGGACTCGATCCCAGGACCCCGGGATCGTGACCTGAGCCGAAGGCAGACGCTTAACCAACTGAGCCACCCAGGTGCCCGTCATTCAGTCTTAGAAAGATATAAAGCACTGATACACGCTACAATGTGGATGAACCTTGAAAACTTTATGAAAGAAGGCCGTCACAAGAGACCACATATTGTATGACTCTATTCATATGAAATATCCCAAAGAGGGAAATCTCTAGACACAAAATAGATGAGTGGTTGCTTAGGGCTGGGGGTGGGGGACAGGGAGACAGTATGGTGGTAGCTAAAGGGTACAGAGCTTCTTTTGGAAGTGATGAAAATATTCTAAAATTGTATTCATGATTGTGCAATTCTGTGGATGCTAAAAGCCACTGGATTTTACACTTTTTATTTCAGTAAAGCCATTTAAAAAAAAAACACATACACTGAACTCTAAAATACAACTTTTTGAAATGGCCTCATGTTGCTACCACGCAGGACAGCACACACTGCTGAAAGAAACACCACAAAAATCACAGCTTGCGGGGAACAGAGAATTGCAAGAATGAATTCTGAGAAATAACTGGAAAAAAATAAATGTGCATAAAAATGACAGAAGAATCAAATCTTCTTGACAAGGGAGTTCTGCAAAACCCGGCCAGGGAATCTTGCCGTAGAAGGCAGCTTCAAAAGAGACCGGGGTTTCGGTGAATAATTTGAACAGCCACACCAGTGACAACTGAGTCAACCCTTGCAGGTGACCATGAACTCCAGAGTGATGGTACTTCCACGTCTTGGCCAACATTGGGTAAAAACAGCTCTTCTCAGGCCCTGCAGGCTGCTCCAAGGACAATCTTATTGCAATGAAATTTAAATTTCATTGCAATTTAAAATACACACTAATTGTCTCCCTGGGCTTAAAGGACATAGGATTGTACGTGCGGAGCTCTGAAAATCCATAAAAGCAACTGGAGGTTTTGGTGGCTTTTTAGGGGCTTGACTAAGTGACTAGGGACTGGTGTGGAAGGAGCCTTGCTTTTCACAAGCACCATCTGGGACCGTACTTTGCCCCATTGTTCTCAGGGAGAATATGCTCACACAGCTGCACAAGTCATATAAGTGTTCCGGAGAAATCGGGATTTGTAAACATTCAGCTCCCAAATACACAGAGCAGCCAAACTGTGCAGTTTCTCCCCTGGACCCCTCCCACAGCTGCCCGCAGGATTCCGGAGCAAGGATGGGCGGTATGTGCAAAAGTAAAACACTGACAAAACAGACTAAAACACCACCACCAAGAAAACGGTTAAATAAGTCACGGTATGCACAGGGCAGCGGTAAGGACCTAATCACACCTCCGTGTATAGCTGGTACTCGACCAAGTCTGAGTTTGCCCTCCAGGGACATTGGCAAGGTCTGGAGACATTTCTGGTTGTCACCAGTGGGATTGCTCCTAGCATCTGGGCCAGGGAGGCAGTGAGTTTGAGAAACCCTGATGTATAATCAACACTAAATCTGATGGACATTAAGGAGGGAGCCCGACGCAGGGCTTGATCCCAGGACCCTGGGACCAGGACCTGAGCAGAAGGCAGACTTCTAGCGACTGAGCCTCCCAGGCGCCCCTATCAGTACTGTTTTTATTTTTTATGTACTGTTTTGTGTACTGTTTATCTGTACAAACATTTGTAGCAAATATGGGTACATGTTAAAATTATTTATCACCTCTGTACTTTTGCTTGGAAATTGAAAATTCGTGAAAAAGAAACTAATAGTCTAGCTGCCTCGTTGAGATTAAGGAAATAACCTGGATCTGGAAAACCACTTCTCCATGAAAATTCATCAATAATAGAATAATATTAATAACAATGATATATGCCTGGTGAATGTCTGTCTACTCCACGCAAACAGGGCATCTCAGGGTGGGCACATTAAACACTGGGGGCGCCGTCCTGCTCACCGGAGGGTGCTGAGCTGCATCTCCAGCTTCCGACCACCCAACGCGAGCAGCAACACCCCACTAACCCACGCGTCACCACCACTGTTATCTTCCAACATTGTCAAATGTCACCTGGGGATAAAAGCGTCCTCAGGGTGGGAATCCCTGGTTTCATTTGACCCTTTATTTGGGTCAAAGCCCACGGTCATAACCACTTGTCATTCTGCTACGTGAAGTCAGGGGTCTACGACTTGAATATGAGGATGCCCATGATGATGAGCTGACATTATTAACAATAACCAACACTTTACACAGCACTCGTTAACCTGCCCAGTGCAGGTACCGTCATGTACTTTCATTTCACAGATGTGGAATCTGAGGCTCTGAAGGGCTCGACAAATTGCGTGGTATCATCGGAGAACCCATTAAGGCTTGGGGCCAGGACTGGAGCCCAAGGCTGGCGCCCAGCGAGCACAACGTCTCAGTGCCCTGGATACGAGCGGTAGGAAAAATCAACCGAGAAAAATAAGTCCCTGCCCCGACATTCAGAGGCCGGAGAGGACAGAGGCAGTAAAGCCAACTGCAAAATTAGCAGGAAACCTTTCTCCGGCTGGAGCCATCCCCCCCTTTCTAACTCGCCGGACACTCTGCCCGTTAAGAAGGAAGCGTCCCTCTCTCGCCTGGACGATCTGATTCCCTTGGACACCCGGGAAGCGGGCTGCATTTCCCACCAGGTGCGGAGGCGCAGATAAGGGGTCTCCGGACACAACCACCCACATCTCTCCCGTCTTTGTGGTTCCCAAGGAAACGGGACCTGGCTCCACCTCGCAGCCCATTCGCGACGCTGCCCCTCCGCACGCGGCCCTGCTCCGCTCCGAGCCCACGGAAGCCAGGCTGCATTCACGCCGCACCCACACCGGTCCTTTCCCCAGCCTGGGCTCCGCCGGGCCCCAGCGTTCCGGGGGTCGGGGGCGCCCCGCCCTGCCCCAGGGGCCTCCACCCAGGCTGGACCCCGCCCTTGGACCCAGCCCCGGCCGTCCAGCAGAGACGGGGCCGGGTCCCGCAGTGGACACAGAAATGTCCACCCCCAGGAAAGGCGAACGTGCGCAGAGAAGTACCACCGCCACCGCCGGCCGAGGCCGGATCGGCGCTTCCGCTTCCGGTGCCGGGGCTGCCGGGAGCGGAAAAGAAGGCAAGCCTCAGTCTCTGGATTGGTGGAGCCTCAACGATGGGAGGGGCGAGCTGCGTCCTCCAATCGTCGAGCAGATAGATGCTAGTTCCCCCCGCCCTCTGGAGCGCGATTGGGTCCAGTCCCCGGATCCACCGCCTTAGGGCCTGTCTGAAGCCAGAATGACACTATGGGCGTGGTTGAGACTGGAACCGCCCCTAGGGCGTGGCTAGAGGCCGAACGAGACCCAGGGGTGCGGTTGGGGGCGTGGCCACTGAGCAATCCCTGAGCCCCCCGTTACTTTGGCAATAAATGCTTATTTCCCCCACACTTCCCGCCTGCCAACAGAGTCCCGTGAAAACATATTCACATCATCGGAATGTTTCTCCCTGGAATGTCTTTTATTTCTTCCAGAAATGGGGTCTTTGTGCGGTTCTCTCTACATGCTGTTTTTCCTCCTAGTGGGTGTGGTATCCTGTCCTGGCCACTGGATGGCGACCTGGTTCACATTTTCACGTTTGTGCGTCTTCGGTTGCACCGGGTAGATCAGGAAAAATGCCTGTGGGTTCCTCCAAAACGTACTCGGGAGGCATCTTCTACCCCAGGCTCGGTTCTCTGCACTGGGGTATATGGCAGTAAACGAACACAGTAATTGCCCTCATCCTTCTTAGATTGCAGTTGAGAGGGCCAAAATCGTTAACCATGTTAATAAATGGCTTATATAATAAATATAATATATCCCAGTGTGGACGGGGGAGTGACTGCTCCCTACCCCAGGCCCTGCACAGCTGTTTGAGTCCCATCACTCCCAGGGAAGCCCCCACCCTAGCCCACACACTCCCCACACCCCCCACTTCCCCGTCTGGGGACCGGCCCCAGCCTTTTCCAGGTTCCAGGCTGGATGCTTCTGCTGGGGGTGGGGGGCTGGCCCAGGGTGCCTGGGGACTCTGTGGGAAGCTCCTGGCTATGAGCTGCCATCTCAGGCACCTGCAGAAGCTCAGATGTGTTACGGATGGTGGCTGGGATGTGCGGGGACAGCTGGTTACAATTACGTTAAATCAACAGGCTCAGTTGAAGGCCAACTGAAAATTCTTACAGATCTTCTTTTTAAGAACATGCCTGTCTATTCACAACCAGCGAGTTCATCACAATATAGTGTACGCAAATCAGTTTTGAGCCAGTCGTAGACCTGAGAGTAGGAGCTGAAACTCTACACATCTCTAAGAAAACCCAGGAGAAATATCTTCGTGAACTTGGGCCAGGCAAATATTTCTTAGTACGCAAAATGTGACAAATACAAAGAAAAGATCAAGTGGGTCATTAAATATTATTTAAATATTTGCTCTTTGAAAGCTACTTTGACGCAAACAAGGAGACAAGCGACAACAAGGAGAAAATATTTGCGAATATTGCGAAACATATCCTGACGAAGTGTTTCTAGAATATGGAAGAATTATTTCAAGGGAGAAAAAGCGTCACCACAAGAGGGCGCCCCTCATTCTCAAAAACCAGTTCGCTGAAGTATTTCAGGATAAAGGGGCACAGAATGCAATTTACTCTGAGTTAAGAGAAGGAATACCCATAATTTGTATATGTGCATACACACACACATGCACACACACATACATGAGGTCTTAGTACTATTCTTGCATAAGTTTGAAATGATATCAAAATAAAAAGCTACCCAAAACTAGTCTCCTTGTTTGTACTATCAAATATGTAGATAGCCAGCGAATGATCAAAGAATAACGGGTGAGCGATTCTAATTGTCTGCAACCATTTCCTTTCATTCTTTTGCCTGTGTCTGGCTTTATTGCTGTTTTTCAAGAACATAGCAGGTAAGATCATTCCTTCCAAGAATTTTAGAATGGCTTCTTTGCAGTTGAAAACAGTGGGTCCCAAACGAAGCCATTTCCCTGAGTCACCTGGACCTGTTCCTTTTTGTTTTTCATCCTGAATTTTATCCTTACCTTTATTTCTGTAAAGCTGATTGGACGATAACAGGGAAAGATCATTCCACAAGGTCACCGCTTGGAAGCTGCAGCCCACAGATTCTTCCGTTTAGCCTCTCGTGGTATTGGCACGTCCACTGTGATGCTATTTTCCTATGTCTCTTTTTTTAATTGAAATTTTTACTGGGAGAATGGCGATTCACCTGCAGTTGTAAGAAATAGTGCAGAGAGATCCCGGCTACATTTTGCTCACTTTTTCTCTAGTGGTAACATTTTGCAAAAGTAGAGTTCAACGTCACAACCACAAGGATCTCCCATAATACCCTTTTATATTCACGCCCACCTCCCTCCTGTCTCTCAGGCCACCCTATCCCACCAGGAAGCTTTCTAAAAAGATGCTCACTCTCTGAAGAATCCCTGATTTCTGCTCCCCCACCTGCTGGGCTGGGGCTCAGAAATCTGCATGTTTACAAAGAAGATCCCAGGGCTGGGACAGGAGAGGAACAGGAGCCTGGACCATCCAGTCCTGCCTGCAAGCCAGGAGGCACTCGGAAGAATGCTGCGGCGTGTCAGAAAAGCAGAGAAGTCAGCTTGAAATCCGGCCAAACCTAGACAATGGGACCATCCAAATAATGGAGAATGATGAATTATAAGCCATTTTAAAAAATGGGACTCTATGGGTCCACACCAATAATAACTAGATTCACAGGAGAAAAAGGAAGGCTCTCACATACAGCCAAATACCAAGGGCCCAGTGGCAAATGTGGGGGCGTGCTCGGGGTACAAAGACTGCTTCAGGCAAGAAGCATCCACCGTAATAGCTTCTGGAATGGTTTCCAACGATTCTTGCCTCCGAGTGTCTAAATTAATATACTGTTGTCCAACAGTGAAATTGGTGTGAAAACAAGATAAGGGGATTAGAAGGTGCCTCCTCAGGCTGAGGTAGGGTGCAGTTTCATGTGGGTGGGGGTCAGGGAAGGCCACTCTGAGGAGGTGACATTGAGCTAAAATAGGAAGTACTTGAGGGAGTGAGTCACAATGCAGTCAAGGAGAAGAGTGTTCCAGATGGGCAGACAGCCCATGCAAAGGTCCTGTGGTAGCCTGTGAGGAAAAGCAGAAGGTCCGTGTAAATGGAGTGAAGGGACTGTAACCCGGGATTAATCAGCAGGGTGGTAAAGACTGCAGGGCTTTCAAAAGCCCTCTGAAGACTTTGGTTCTGAGTCCAAGGGAGAGCCGTGGGAGGAGATTGGGCAGGGGAGGGACAGGATTCCACTCAATGTTTAAAGGATTGTCCAGCTCTTTATTAGAAATATATTGTAAGGAGGGGCGCCTGGGTGGCTCAGTCAGTTGGGCGACTGCCTTCGGCTCAGGTCATGATCCCAGGGTCCTAGATCAAGTCCCATGTCGGGCTCCCTGCTCAGTGGGGAGTCTGCTTCTCCCTCTGTCTGCCGCTCTCCTTGCTTGTGTTCTCTCTCTCTCTCTCTATTTGACAGCCAGATGCGGGACTCGATCCCAGGACCCCAAGATCATGACCTGAGCCGAAGTCAGTTGCCCAATCGACTGAGCCACCCAGGTGCCCAATAAATAAAATCTTAAAAAAAAAAAACAGGGCGCCTGGGTGGCTCAGTTGGTTAAGCAACTGCCTTCGGCTCAGGTCATGATCCTGGAGTCCCGGGATCGAGTCCCGCATTGGGCTCCCTGCTCAGCGAGGGGCCTGCTTCTCCCTCTGACCCTCCCCCCTCTCATGTACTCTCTCTCATTCTTGCTCTCTCAAATAAATAAATAAAATCTTTAAAAAAAAAACATATTGTAAAAATGTGGATTCCTGGGCCCCACTGCTGATCTCTTGTGTCAGAAACTCGGGGGGGGTTGGGGCTCAGTGATCTGTGTTTCAACAAATCCCCCCACCCCCGAGCTATCCTGGTGCCCACCAGTCTGAGAACCACTGACTTAGAGATGAGTGGCTGAGGCCAAGGAACCCCACTGAGGACCCAGTGGTGACAGCAATTTTCCATTTGAAATCTTTGGGGTCTGTTTTGTGTTTAGAAGCAATGCATCAGTGTAGTTCTTTGGAGGGACGTTTTTAAAAAGTGTCAATAGAGGGGGTGGCTGGGTGGCTCAGTTGTTAAGCCTCTGCCTTCAGCTCTGGTCATGCTCCCAGGGTCCTGGGATCGAGCCCCGCATCAGGCTCCCTGCTCCGCGGGAAGCCTGCTTCTCCCTCTCCCACTCCCCCTGCTTGTGTTCCCTCTCTTACTGTGTCTCTCTCTGGCAAATAAATAAATAAAATATTTTTTTAAGTGTCAATAGAGAGTAATAATGGAAAGATGGATAAACAGAGAGACCCCCTGAAGGGAGAGGTCCTCACCCATCACAAGGACCCACAGGGCTGGGGCATCCCAGACCCATCGGACTCTGAGCCTGGCATCCAATCTGAGGATGGGCAGAAATGAAGCTCAAACTCAGGCTTGGAGCAGGAGAGCCTGGAGCCGGATGAGGGCCAGCTGGCCACCAGAAGACCCTTCTGAGAAGGAAGACGTTCCTGCCACCGGGAATCCCCTCATTTAGAAGTTTTCCCACTGAGAGCATGTGGAGCAACTCTGGGCCTCAGACACAGCTGGTGGGAATGCAAGACAGTGTCCCCACTTTGGGAAAAAGCCTGGAAGCTCCAGAAAAAGGTAGACACATTCTCATATCTACCCAGGAGGAATGAGAGCACATGCCAACACACACACCTGTTCATGGATGTTCACCGCAGCTGTGTTCACGACCACCCAAACTGCAAACAGCCAAACCTCCACCAAGGGCCCAAGAGAAACAAAGTGGGGGCCACTCACCCAAATGAAATACTCAGCTGCAGCAAACAGGAACCGAGCACCGATACACGCAAAAAACACAGGTGAACCTCAAAAGATGACGTTTGGTGAAAGAAGCCAGACACAAAAGACATGTATTTATTATAAGCCCATGTATATGATGTTTCTAGAAAAGGAGATACTCCCAGGGAGAGAAAGCTAGGGATGGGAGGGAGGGGTCGATTCACAACGGACCAGAGGGACACTTCCCGGGTGATGCAAATGTTCCAATATTCGGCTGTGGCGATGGTTGTGCAACTGGACAAATTTACTAAAGATCCTGGAACTGCGTGGGGTTTTGAAAGGGGTGACCTCACGGTAGGGAAAGGACACCGTGACGGCGCTGTAATAAAACATTTCGCCAGCAGAGGGCGCCAGAGACCATAAGTTCAACTCTGAACGGGCCTCGGGGTCGGGTCTAATGGGGACCCACATTCCCCTCTTTCCACCTCCTGGAGGCGATGAACTGGACCCTCAGGGGGACGTCTGTGGCCTCGCCCTGCCTTGGGGGTCTCATTGGGATGACTTCACTGGAAATAAGAATGGGCCACCCGGGAGTGTGCTGGGAAGCCCGCGGCAGCCCAATGCACCCAATGAATCAACCGTGGTCACTTTCGGCCCTAAATGTAGATGAGCTGGCTGGTTGGGCAAGTCTCTTAACTCCGCGTCGGGAAGCGTTGATGCTGGGACCTGATCCAGGTCACATCTCCTCCCCAAGTCCTGGAGGAAGGCTCCTTTTGAGGCGAAGTGTAAATTGGGACGAACGTGTACTTTGGGATGGACGTGACAAAGGGCTACTTTGGACCCCACAACTAAAACACAGACACCTGGGGAAAATAAGCACGAAAAAAGGCCCATGGATGGACGCATGTGTTACCCACTCAGCCATCCTGCTATCCACGCCTGCGCGCATACACACACACACACACACACACACGCACACACACGACAAAGAAGAATTAAGTCAAACAACAACAAAGCACCGGGTGGTGAGTAGGATTAGGGTCACGGGAGACAGAGTGACAAGATGGGGCCTTGCTGAGGTTTTCAAATCGACTTCTGGATGGCACAACGCATTCCCCGGGAAGGGAGACAGAGAAGCTGAAAGGTGGACAGCTGCTCATCAGCTCCCCCAAAAGTGATCCAGCAAAGCTACCTCCAGATTCCTGACCACCAGAGCCTGTGTGAGATGATAAATGCTTATCGTCTAAGCCGCTAACTTTGGGAACAACTTGTTACGCAGCAGTAGCTAACTAATACATCTGGGTTTCTTCAGAAGCGAGAGCCAGGTCCAGGAGCTCCAAAAGGCCACTTCTGGAATGGATGCACGTTCCTCCAAGCTCGGGTCCACAGGGGGTCCCACCTAATGCTGCAACGTGGGCAGTTCAATGGCAGGAACCTAATTTAGATCTGGGCATTATGGTGTCAGGGTTACAAGGGTATATCCCACAGCAAGATGACCGGGGTTCAAACATTAGCTTAGCCACTCAGTTGCTCTGTGACCCTGGGGACGAGAGTTAACCTCTCTGGATTCATGGCAGATCGAGTTGAGGTCATACTGGAGTAGGGTGGCCCTAAATCCAATGACTGGGGTCCTATAAGAAGAGGGGAATTTGGACACAGACACACACCAGGAGAAGCCCATGTGAGGACTGACACAAAGATTGGAGGGATGTGTCTAGAGGCCAAGGGACACCAAGGAATGGTGCCCCCCCCCAACAGGAAGGACAGGAGGGATCCTTCCCTGGAGCCTCCAGAGGGAGCACAGCCCTGCCTACACCTGGGTTTTGGACTTCTGGCCTCCAGAACACGATGGAATAGATTTCTGTTGTTTGAAGCCACGGGGCATGGGGTCATTTGTGACAGCAGCCCCGGAAATGAATACGAGCCTCTCTCCACCAGATGGCAGAAGGCAGACTTTGATCAATTCCGGGTAATTCAATAAATTCACTTTTCCTGAGACTAGGTCTAAGCTCAAGGGCATTCCAGTGCCCTCTGAGGGTGGGGCAGCTGAGGGGCATCCTACCCTTGAGCATCTATCACCCAGCGCAGCCACAGTCTTTGGAGGGTCCCTGTCCTTTCGCCTCTTGGTCATTCATCCACTGACTGGACACCAGGGTCCTTCTACCTACAGGCTTTCTGCAGCCGCTCCTTCCCCTCCGTCACTCCCCCACAGGGCCACTGGCATGTCCTGGGGCGGGGGGAGAGAATGGGAGCAGGGGACTGAAAGTGGTCACCCCCTCCCTGCTGCCACTTCCCCGTGGTCACTCCACAGCCCCTTCTGCACCCCAGGCTTTCCCTTGAGCCTTCTGCCTGGCCTACACCCAAGCCAAGTAACCCTGGGCCTGTGGGGGCCTGGGTCTGAGGTCACCAGGGCCTGCCAGGGAATTCCAAAGCTTTGGAAATGCAAACCCCTTCTTCCAGACCTGGGGCTTCCAAGTCAACCACAACAACTTAAAAGCCAAGAAGGAAATCTTTGCTGCCTCCCCTCCTCTCTGCTGTGCCCTCAGCCCTTCCAGAGGGCTCAGGGACGGCTGCGTCCCTGCGGGCCAGACTGGAGGACATGGGGGACAGCGAAAGGAAGGGCAGGGCCCACCATCCCGGCTCGAACCCCACCCGCCTGCAGGCTTCCAAAGGAGAGAGTAGAATGGTTCCTTGTGAAATGCTTCTGACCTCTGCGTGGACCTAGACCTCAGACCTGTCCTGTCCACTGGAACTTCCCGCCAGGATGGGAATGTTCTTGGTTTGCACTGTCCCATGGTGATGGTCCTCCCCAGACACGTGTGGCTGCAGAGCGATTGACATGCGGACAGTGAGCCTGAGGAACTGAGTTTTTAATTCTATTTCATTTTCATGTGTTTTAATTTAAATAGCCACAGGTACCCAGTGGGTACCGTGTGAGACAGACAGCCTTGGGTAAACTGGTGTGCCCAGCAACCACGAAAGGAAGAGAGCCAAGCTCACAGAGGGAGGCAAATTAGCAGGCTGGCCCATAAATAAAATACGCTTCAATTAAGGGCCAGTGGAGGGATCGTGGGTGAAAACCTGTTTTTTTTTTTTTTTGCAGTGCACACGTGGCAGTCCTCACTTTCCCCTCCATACACCAGCCACAAAGCCCAAGTTGTGTGTTTACATTATAACCTCAGGGGACTGTGCATCCCAAGATCTGAACCCCCAAGTGTGCCCCTCCCCATACAAAGCACAGCAAGGGCCAGCAGAGTGTCCTCTCCCTTCTGTGGATGCCAAGCCAGCATACCTACCAGGGTAGGCCCTGTGGCCGGTACAAGAATGTCTGAGAACCCCATCAGCAGTACGTGAATTTTGAACACAGCAGGACTTAGAGCCACTGAGCTTACAACAAGATTAGTGCCAATTCAAACCATGTTTGGAGAAAAATTAAATAAGGAAGGGAGAAGGGGGGGGTGGTGCTGGAAGTTCATTTTTAAAAGGGATGAGGGGAGGCCTGCGGAAGTGGGGAGCTCTGAGCAGACCACGGAAGGAGGGAACAAGCCAGTGGCTGTCAGGGGGAGACTATTCCTGGTAGAGGAGGGAATGGTTAGTGCAAAGGTCCTGGGGTGGGCAGGACCATGGCACACCCCCACCGCACACCTCCAGTAGGCCTTGCAAACTGGGCCAGAGCACAACTCTAGAATCCTACAACTCCTACAACCCCCACCCCTTATCCTTCTATCATCCCAGGCCTGCAATACCCACCACTCCTTCCTACCCTGGCCTTGAACCTGGACAAATTGTACCAGCTTCAAGGCCTCTGCAGTCCCTGCTTTTGGTTCTCAGATCCTGGGCTTAGGGGACAGTTGGGAAAATTCATCGACATAAATACAGAGCCCAGGGCTTGGTGCCGGATGAAAAGGAGCTGTTAAGTTTTCCCCATTAAAGGGGCTTAAAGCTTCGTTTGAACTGCGTTATTAATATTGAGGAAAATGTTATTAGCCCCTATCTAAGGATTGGAATGAGTGCTAAGGAGTCTGCCTTCATTCCCAGCCCCACCCCTAGCCCCATGCCACGCTGGGGCACGGCTTAAAATGATCATGCTTTTCATTAAACAATGCAACTACAGGCCATCCAGCCCCTTCCCAGGTTGCACCCTCTGACCCCAAGCCCTTCTAAATATCCTCGCCCCACTCTGGACCCCAAACTGCCTCCGGCTCTGCACGCTGCCTTTCCCCAGAGCGGTACCGCAAGGGTTAAGCGAAGGCGCCGGGCGCGCTGATTGACAGCCCGGCCGGCGGCTGGGGCGAGCTGGCCAATCAGCGATAGCGGCCGCGGCCCACGTGGGAAAGCGGCCTCGCGATTGGCCAGTGCCTGCAGCGGCCGCCCGCGGAGAACGAGCCCACGTGCAGCTGCTGCTCGTTCATTGATCGTCCTCGTGGTGCAGGTGGCGGCGGGGCGGGGC